GTAGATCTCGATAAATCTCCCCCTTTACATTGAAGTCGAGAGGGGACGAGGGCCGGGGTCACCTGCAGAACGGATCCGCTGGCTGTAGTGAAACAGGAGCTGCAGTGTAGAGGGTAGTTTTTAGCCAGCAGGGACCCAAATTCAAATCCCCACTCCACCACTGGGGATGTCTCAGTGCCTCAGTTTCCCTGTCCAGGCATCAAGGATTAGCAGCACCGCTGATCCTGACGGGGAGGCAGATGAAAGGAGATAGCTATCTCAGCCAGCTGGAGTTGTGGGGAGGATGAAGCCAGCTCAGAGGGACAAAAATCCAGTGGTTTTTCGGGTCTCCTCACAAATGAGGAGAGCAGAATCAGGCCCATCCCAGCAGCTCCGCGTGAATGAGCGGCAGCTGGGCTTCTGGAAAAACCAGATTCTTCCCTACCCAGGTCATGGGGTCGGGCAAAGCTGTGAGGTCTGGTCGCCGCCGGCTCAGCGCAGGTTGAAACGGAGCGACGGGTAGTTCATCAGACTTCATCTTCCTGCCCTTTAGCACCGTTCCTCAAACGCTGCCTTGGCGAGGCTGGCGTGCGGCTGGGAGGCTGCAAAGACCTTGCTGTAACACCGCCTCGCCAGCCTCCAGCGGGCCGACAAATCGCGACATTCGGCACAGAAATCCCGAGATGTTTTAAACCGGCCCTAGGGTTTGCAATTCACCTGCAGGGTTTTGGGGGTCATTTTTTGAAGTGTCAGGAGTGGTGTTTTCCACCCGTGTCTCATGCAAGGAGAGAAGAGCAGCTTTGAATGCAGAGCTGAAGCTGGAAGGGAAACCTCTGATCTCCAGTGCGAGCCAGGGGAGTCGGTGACCCTGTGCACTTTTAGTCTGGCCGGTTTGGGCAGTGACCATGGCAAAATACCAGCCCGATCTCTGGCGGGGGGGGTCGTTGTGTGTTTGTGTGTGCGTCTGTGTGTACCCTGTTGTTGGCAGTCATGGTTCAAAGGAAACGTGCCGTAGTTAGCTGGATCCGTGCCGGTTGGACAGATCGGCTGGTTTGCAATTGCAGCACAAAACGATCCGCTGTCTTTAGCCCTTTCCTTTAGACGGGCTTTGCAAGAGAGCCCAGCGCACGCCCTTTGCCACAGCAAAGGGACCCATGGTGCGTCCCAAGAGGACCCCAAACCCGTCTGGCTGCCCAGACCCTGTGGCAGCACTGGCGACAACGGCCTTTTCTCCGTCTTTGATCCCTTTGTTTCAATGGCTGTGGAGGCAGGGCCCGAAGGAGGGGCTGGACCCCCAGAGCCCTCGGAGGGTGACAAAGAAAGCACTCTATTGTGAATGGGCATCTGGGGGCGGAGGGGGAAGCCAGGGGGATGAAGGGGCCAGTGTATGTGCACGTGTCCGATGAGTGCCTGGATAGAAGAGTGACCCCATGACAGTTCTTCCTGGGGTCCTGCAGACACCAGCTCCGCCACTGACTGCCCGTGTAAGCTCAGGCAAGTCACTTACTCCCACCTCAGTTTCCCATCTGCAGCTGGAGCAGGTGGCCAGGGTGATGGGGGGCACTCTGCTCTGAGACACACCAGGGTCTGTCCAGGGTACAAAGCTCCCGCTGTTCCCCCAGCACCTTCCAGTTCCTCCTGCTGAGTCCTTAGTCACCAGCGCCTTTGAGGAACTTAGAGAGAAGAGGACTCGTGGTGTTAGGGAGGGGGAAGCTGACAGCAGGCAGCCCGTGACATGGGACAAACCACTGCCAGGACAAGTAGCGGTGGGAACGGAGCATGCAGAGCTGCTGCAGGGGCCGGACCTGGAGGAGAGGAACCAAGGGGGAGGGGTAGAGATGGCTCTGCCTCAGTTGGCCCATCTGTACAATGGACTGAGCCCTTTCCTTGCTGATCACACTGCCACGGGCTCCTCCAGGAGGAGAAGACCCTGGTGGAGGTGCTGGCCTTGCTGCACCAGGCACTGCACATACAGACGGCCCCTGCCCCAAAGCAGTGCAATCTGCCGGTGTCCAAGATCAAGCTACTCTGCCAAGGTGCCATGGAGGAGCAGGGGGGATCTAGCTCTGTACCAGCAGTGGGGGGCAGAGGGACATCCCCCTGCCTTCCCCTGCAGGTTCAGATCCAGCCAGCAAGGGGGTAACCCAGCAGAAGTGCCAGCCAAGCCCTGTCCTGCCACGCTGGGCCAGCTGCAGGGGGGACAGCCTCAGGCTGGCATTGCTGTCCTCTGAGTCATCAGCACAGAAAGGGCTTCATGGGCATGGGCTGGGGGGCAGGAGGGGGGTGCAGGCCGGCTGCGGGGGTGTGTTCAGACAGGGTGGGGCAGTGCTGGTCCAGCGCCAGCTTTCCGAGGAGCTGCTGGAGTGTGCGTCTGCATCTGTCTGTCTGGGGGGATACTTGCTGAAAAGCAAGACAGACACCCAGACAGAGAGCTGAACATCAGAGAAGCTGCTGCAGCCTCTTGCAGTGCCAGCCCTGTGCCCAGTCTGTGCCAGCTGTGGTGCTGGGCTGCTCTGCAGGGTCTCCCATGGCCAAGGTCGTGCCAGGTTGTGAGGCAGGGATCCCGGGCAGAGCTCCCGTGGCTCCCGGGCCTCAGCCTCCGGGTGACGATGGGACTCAGTCCACTGTGCCAGGGGGTGGGAGAAGGAGGGCAGCCCGGCTCCTCCAGGCCAGCTCCTTTATTGCCTGCCTGGTATTTTTACCCATGATCTCACGAGGCAGGAGCTCGCTCCAGCTCCCGCCCCCGCAGCCGGCTGCCAGCTCCCGCCTGCGGCTGGAATGTGCTGCTGTCGCCCCACCAAGCCCGGCCTCGCCTGGGTGCGCAGGGGCCCGGGGACTCCCGCGTTCCCTTCCTGGCTCGACCCTGGGAGTTGGGCATGACATGCTTTCCACCTTCCAGCCCCGCACTCCCCCATCTCTGCCTCAGTTTCCCATGAGCAAAAGGAGGGTTGTGGGAGGTGGAGGCAAAGCCTTTTTCCACCCGCTGGTTCTCCTGGGTGTCGCAGTCTGGCCCCCTCGGTCTGCTCGCCCTCCACTCCCTGGGCAGCGGGGACTCGGGAGCTTGGCAGCGGTGCGGTGTGGGGTGGGATGTGTGAGCTGAGGGGGACCTGGTCTTTGGAAGGAGAAGGGAAGGATGAAGCGCGTCTTGGCTTGCAATCCTGTGCAGGAAGCCAGCAGCCAACCATCCTTGCTTGGGGGTGTGCACCCCAGAGCTACGGGCACTTAGGCCCCCTGGATAAACACTGTGTGTCAATGATTGCTCTGCACGTCCACGGCACTTTGTCTCTGCCCCTTCCCAAATGTACCTGCCAGCAGGGAGCTCCTGAAGCTCCCCTCTGCAAAGTAGGGAAACGCAGGCACGAGGCGGTGTGCGACTTTCTTGCAGTTGTCCGGCTGGAAGTGGACCCCAGGAGTCCTGATGCAATGGCAGGGAGAGCCTAGGCGTCCTGGTGCTCCAGCCTAGTCCCCAGCAGTGAGGCGGGTTCCTCTGCGCTGGGTATATCAGTCCTTTGTCCTTAAGTGAGCCAGCGCAGGAGCCCTGGCACAGCCGTGAGCCTCTTCGTAAAGGCAGCCAGGCCCCGGCACCCGGCTCTATCTCTGCGTGCAGCCCTGGGGTAGAGCGTACAATGGGAGGGGCCCGGTGGCAGCATCTTGCGGCAGTCCTGGGGGGTCGGGCCATCGCAGCCCTCCCTCCTGGCTCCAGCAGAGCCTCAGGCCCCAAACTCCAGAGCTGCCCAGGCTACCGCAGGCTCCACTTGCAAGCCAGGGAGGCACTCAGGGGGCATGCCCCAAAGTCCACACAGCTCATGCTCCAGCCTTGTCCCCTCTTGTGTACCAGGGACCGCGCCTCGCGGGGAGCTTTGTGCAGCCCACAGCAGCATCTAGTGGCCGTGTGCACGCATTGCCATCGGACCCGTCCCATCTCCCATCCACAGGGGCTATTATTCCTTTTACGTTATTTTGCAACTCCGCATCAGACCTTGGTTTCAAACCTCCAAAAGGTTGAAGCTTGCATGGCCTCTGTGATCCAGTTGGATCCCAGACCCCTTCCGTGAGCGTCAAGGTTTGCTATGCTCTTGGGGGTCAGGACCAGGCCCCAAGATGTGTCAGGATCAGGGCCCTGGAAGGCCAGGGCTGATGCCAACACAGCAGGGGTGGCTGGATATAGGGTCAGGGTGAGGTATTGGGATGAGGGGGGCTGGTTTCAGGATTAATCTGAGTTGGGGGAAATTTTGTGGAGAAACAACCCCCTCAGCCCCTTTTCAGGTCAGCATTAATGGAAATGGGAGACTCGTCCCTAGCTTGCTCCTGTGGCCATATGGCTAAGGGCAAGCAAAACTTGGTGGCATCCAAACCCCAAGCCTCCAGGCTTGGGCCTGCACGTAGGATGCTCGCCAAGGGATTTGGAAGTATCTGAAGCCCCAGGCGGGGGTGGAGATGTTTGCTGGTAGCAGGGCCACATATGGTTCTTGAATGATTCACACGGACTTGGAATTGATTTGGCTAATTTGACTTGGGGCCCAAAAAATTTTCCTTTAAAAAAAAAAAAAGAGCTAAGGGCCAAAATCAGTGGGGGGAAAGCCAAGTAAAACGTGGAGTTCCAGGTGAAGTTGGTGCATTCCTATGGCAGGTTGATCTGGGGTTTAGTGGGCTGCCACCAGGCTACAACCCAATGCATTTCTATGGGACATTGATCTAGCATCCAAGGAGCCAGTGGAGGAAGAGCAGAGGCTCTGAGGCCATGTCAGTGCTGGGGTCTGTTGAACTGAGGCAGCTGTGTCGGGGAATACAGCACTCATGAGTATGAAACACGGCTCGCATCAGCGCTATGGGCCTAGCTGGACATGCACAAGTGAAATGCTGTGGGACCCCCTACAGCTAATGCTGTAGCTACAGGGACTGTTTCCCCATGTGCATGAAATCCCCAAGCCCCTGGGCCGTGGTTCTGGGCTGGGGGGTGCTCTGGGTGGATGTGGCTGGGAGCGCCTCCTCCCCTGACGGCCATGGTTGTTTTCTTCCAGCAATGCCAAGAAGGAATCGGACCTGCTGTCCGCCCAGTCCCGCCTCAAAGACCTGGAGGCCCTGCTCAACTCCAAGGAGGCCGCACTCACCACCGCCCTGGGTGAGAAGAGGAACCTGGAAAATGAAGTCCGGGAGCTGAGGGCACAAGTAGCCAAGGTGAGCGATGCCAGCCCTGTCCTATAATGCCCAGGGTGCCCCCCACCCCAGGGGTCAGGGCTGCTGGGATGCCATTGCCCTGGGGTGGGGGAGTCAGCCAGCCCCAAGGCTGATCCCTGCACTTGAATGGAGACAGGTTATGCAAAGCAAGAGCATGCATGGCATGGAAATGAAGTGATGCCAGGATGCAGATTTCCAGCCCAAAAGCATACCCAGCCCTGCTGTGTCAGAGACCCCAGTGCCTCTCCGCATCCACACTCACTCCCTGCTTCCCTCCCCAGCTGGAAGCTTCCCTGAACGAGGCCAAGAAGCAGCTGCAGGACGAGATGCTCCGTCGTGTGGACGCTGAGAACCGGCTGCAGACGCTCAAGGAGGAGCTGGAGTTCCAGAAGAACATCTACAGCGAGGTGGGTCGGGCTGGGCCAGGCTAAGGAGGGACCCCAAGGGCTGCACCAGGGGATCCCGGGGCTCACATGCCCACTCTCCATCCCCAGGAGCTGCGGGAGACCAAGCGGCGCCATGAGACACGTCTGGTGGAGATCGACAACGGACGGCAGCGGGAATTTGAGAGCAAGCTGTCCGAGGCGCTGCATGACCTGCGGGCCCAGCACGAGGCCCAAATCAACCTCTACAAGGAGGAGCTGGAGAAGACCTACAGCGCCAAGGTACGGGGGGGAGGAGGGGGTCCAGGACACCTGGGTTCTCTACCCACCCCTGCCGCGAACCCTAGGTGGGTGTGGGATCCAGGATGCCTGGGTCCTATTCCTGCCCCTGGCTTTCAGTGCAGCCCTACCCATGTCACCCCAGCCTCCCCTGCCATGTCCAAGTTTCCTTCCTGGGGCTATTTCCCCAGGGCTTGGTGCCTCCCCCTCCTTTCCCCACAGAGCCAGTATTTCCCCCTGCTCTGAGTGCTACGGCTGGCCCAGAGCCACTGGTACTGCCACAGGTGCCTGCTGTGACTCAGTTTCCTTCGCCCCCCCAACCTTTGGCAGGGCATTGGTGAGCCCCTTCCACTACCCGTCAAAACCAGTAGCAATTAACTCCTTGGCTTCCAGCTGGAGAATGCCAAGCAGTCAGCAGAGAGGAACAGCAACATGGTGGGCGCCGCCCATGAGGAGCTGCAGCAATGCCGCATCCGCATTGACAGCCTCTCGGCTCAGCTCAGCCAGCTCCAGAAACAGGTGAGATCTGCCCCCTGCATCTGTCCATCCTGCCCCATGTGCCACCAGCTCCCCACTGTGACCACGTCAGGCCACGACCTGCTGCTCCACTTGCCCCTCTTTCCCGCTGTCTTGGCTATGTTTATAGCCTGGCTCAGGATCCGGGCACCCCAAGTGCAGCTGTGTCCCCCCACGAGCTCAGGGGGAGTTTGCCCCATGGACCGAGCCCCTGGTGTGCCTCGTGTTGCCCTCAACCCTGTGCCCTCTGTCCCCAGCTGGCAGCCAAGGAGGCTAAGCTCCATGACTTGGAGGACGCGCTGACACGGGAGCGGGATACCAGCCGCCGCATCCTGGCCGACAAGGAGCGGGAGATGGCTGACATGCGGGCACGCATGCAGCAGCAGCTGGAAGAGGACCAGGAGCTGCTGGACGAGTACCAGGAGCTGCTGGGCATCAAACTGGCCCTGGACATGGAGATCCACGCCTACCGCAAGCTGCTGGAGGGCGAGGAGGAGAGGTGTGGGCGCCTGGCACTGGGGGCAGGCCTCGAGTGTGGGTGGGGTCAAAGAGGGTGGGGTTATGGCCAAAGCAGGGGAGGGGGCTAGTTGAGGGGTGTGGCCAAGGAGCATTGGGAAGAAGCCATGTTAGGGGTGTGGCCAATGATTGTGGGGGAGGAGCCTAACTGGGGTTTGGCCAAAGAGTGAGGGAAAGGCCTGTGGTGGGTGTGGCTAAGGCAAGTAGAGGGAGGAGCTTGGTTGGGGTTTGTCCAAAAAGTGGGGGAAGGGCTTGGTTAAGAAGACTGTGATGGGGTGTGGCCAAGGAGAGTGAGGAGGGGCCTGGCTGGGGATTGGAGGGAGCCTAGTTGGGGGCAAGGCCAATGCCCATGTGGGAGGAACCTGGCTGGGGGCATGGCTGGAGAGGGTGGGGGAAGGAGGGCCTCTTTGGGGCGTGGCCAAGGAGGCTGTTGGGGATTGGAAGGAATCTAGTTGAGGGTGTGGCCAATGCAGAGGGGGAGGAGCTGGGTTGGGGTGTGGCTGAGTATTGGCCCCGCCCCTCCTGGCCCCGCCCCTCCTGGCCTCGCCCTCACCCTTGCCCTCACCAACTCCCCTCCTCCCCACAGGCTGCACTTGTCCCCCAGCCCCACATCGCAGAAGAGCGGCTCACGCAGCCACGTGGTGCGCTCCTCCATGCAGAGCTCCTCCAAGAAGCGCAAGCTGGAGGATGGCGAGGGCCGCACCACCTTCTCGCACCATGTGCGCACCAGCGGGCGCGTGGCCGTCGAGGAGGTTGACCTGGACGGCAAGTTCGTGCGGCTCAAGAACAAGTCCAGCGAGGTAGGGCCGGGCACTGAGCGGTGCCCGCCGCTCCTCCGCCGCCAAACAGAAACAGGCTGAGCCTGAGGCCAAATGGGAGACTCCCCCCTTAACCCACCCTGCTCCCTTCTGCCTCACAGGATCAGGCCCTCGGGAACTGGCAGATTAAGCGCGTGAACGGAGAAGATCCCGTCGTCTCCTACCGCTTCCCTCCCAAATTTACCCTGAAGGCTGGCCAGGTGGTCACGGTGAGTTGTGAATGCTGTTCTCAATTAAAGGGTTCATGCCCAGAGGCTCTGGTGCCCGGTTCTCAGCTGGCCTGTGCTGAGCAAAGCCAACCCAGATGACATGGGGTGCTCAGCCCATCATAGGCAGTGAGTGTTGGGAGGGACCAAAGCAGGACCAGCCCCAACTACATCATCCCAGCCAGGGCTTTGTTCAGCAAGGTCATTAAAAAACTCCAAGGATGGAGACTCCACCACCTCTCTGGGCAACCTTTTTCCAGTGCTTCATCACTCTCCTAGTGAGAGTTTTTCCTGATATCCAAACTAAACCTCCCTGGCTAACTGGAGCTCATCGCTCCTTGTTCTGTCATCTGCCACCACCAAGAACAGGAGATCCTAGTTTATCCGACACTGGGATTCGAACCTAGAACTTGCAGAACAAAAAGTCAAGGCCTGGTCTGTGGGAAATCCCTTTCCTTTTAGGTGTCAGACTCTTAGCCTCCTCAGTGGGCTCCTGGGGAAGACCTATGTGGTCTCTAGGAAGGAGGTAGGGAGGTGGTTCTGGTCCCGTCAGCACTACTGGCACGCGGTGTGACCGTTCTCTGCCCATGTTCCCCGTAGATCTGGGGTTCGGGGGCCGGTGCAACCCACAGCCCTCCCACGGACTTGGTGTGGAAGGCCCAGAGCTCATGGGGCACCGGAGACAGCCTGCGGACTGCCCTGATCAACTCCAACGGAGAGGTGAGATAGCGGGAGAGCCTGGGGGGACCGGTTCTCTGTGCGCCAGGCACAAGCAGGGATGAGTGGAGGGGGCGAGTGACCCTTGTGGGGTCTCTGAGGCTGTGGCTGCCTCCTGACTTCGTCTCCTGCCCCCTTCCCCTGCAGGAGGTGGCCATGAGGAAGCTGGTCCGCACTGTGATCATCAACGACGAGGATGAAGACGGTGATGAGGAGGGCATGCACCCCCACCGCCACCATCATGTGAGTGCCACGCGCTGGGAGAGGGGGTGGGGCACAGTGGGATGGGGAGACTTGGCCTGGGACTCTCAGATGATGCATGGACCGTGCCAGGGTCTCACACTGGGCTGGGGAAGCCCCCATCCCCTCCCAGCCTGCTGACAGCAAGGAAGGAGAAGCAGGATGAGGTCCATCAAGAGGTTCTCTGCATGGAAGAACCACCACCAGCCATGCTGAGGGCAGAGGACACAGGCTTTGCTCTGGAACACGATGATGTTGGTTTGGGTGGAAACCGAGCTGCAGGAGATGACCCCATGATGATAGAAACAAAGTTGAGGGCACTAGCAGGGCAGAGAGTCCAGAGCCAGCTGGGGATGGTGGCTTCAAGCAGAGACCAGCGCCTCATGGGACGATCCTCTGAGATGGATGCCTGGTTTAGTTACCAATGCAACTGGTCCCCTCCCGGCCAAACCCAGAACACACCAGCATCTGTCTGGGCAGGAAGACCCATGGCTTCTTGTACTGACTCCAGGTCCTGAGAGCCATGTCGGGCTGAGTACAGCTAGTCCCCAGATCCAGGGGCTGGGCTTCCCACAGGTGCAATGACAGGATCCCATCCAAGAGCTCAGTCCATGCGCTATCGCCCAGCACAATCCAAGGTGTGGAGCAGCTCGCAATGGGAAGAAGCCTTACAGCCAGGCTCAGTGGGGCTGGAGGTGACCACCCAGAAGCCCCTGATGTCCTCGGTGCACCAGGCAGCCTTCGAATGAATTGCAGCCCTGACTGCAGAAGCAAGATGGCTGTTTTGCTACAGAACAGGCCTGAATCAATGCCCCCCATATAGCCAGGAGAGTGAAGCTGTCTCCCAGCCATGCTTGTAGAGGGGAACTTAAGCTATCCGCCCATTCATATCCAAGTTGCGGTTATGTGTAGAAATGCCTCCACACATCATGTTACTGGGGTAAAAATAAACCCCTAAACCAAGACCCTAAACCAGGAGGCAAGAAGGGATCTCCTCCAGCACCAAGGAAGGCTAATTCTTGCTCATGGAGACCCCTCAGCAGCTTTGTTGGGGTGGGTGGGACAGGGCGGGTGCTGCTGGCTGTAAGAATAACCCTGGAGAAGGTGGTGTTTCCTCAAGACAAGGTCCCCAGCTCCCCTCCGGGAGGTGCTCAGGGTGGCCGTATCTCTCTCACCTCCATCCAGGTCCACTGCAGCGGCTCGGGGGACCCCGGTGAGTATAACCTGCGCTCCCGTACTGTGGTGTGTGGCACCTGTGGCCAGCCGGCCGAGAAGTCTGGCACCGGGACCCAGAATGCCGGTACCGTATCCTCAGGCTCATCGGCCGCCAGCGTCACCATCACCCGCAGCTACCGCAGTCTCGGGGGCACTGGCGGGAGCACCAGTGGCCTGGGTGAAAGTCTGGTGACCAGGTCCTACATCCTGGGGAACGCCAGCCCACGCAGGCAGGTCAGTGTGGCAGGGAGCAACAGGGGGCTCGAGGGACCCGGGTGTCTGGAGCGCTAGACCGACAGGTATCATGCCTCTGTGGGCTGCAGTGAGTAGAAACCAGCCCTCTTTTGAGTGCAGCAGGTCTGGAGAGAAGACTGAGGTGGGATTTGATAATAGTCCTCAAATAATCAACAGTGCCCTTGTTGCCAAGGCTAACGGCATCCTGGGCTGCATTGGTAGGAGCGTTGCCAGCAGATGGAGGGAAATGATTCTTCCCCTCTATTCGGTACTGGGGAGGCCACATCTGGAGTCCCGTGTCCAGT